GGCTAGAAAGTGACCTGAAAAGCAAAGGAAGCTGAAATTCCCACCTGAGCGTCTGATTCCAGGATCAGAGAGGCTGAGAAAAACGAGAAGCAGGCGAATGCCGCAGCCAAATTGTAAGTGTTGGGGAGGCTGCAAAACTCCATTGAAAGTCTTGGAAAGGCAGAAATATCCAGCTCTGTTGTGGAGGCCAATGGGATGATGTTTAACTCTTGGGGATTTTAATTAAAAGGGAGGTGTCTCTGGCACTGTGCTCCTCCAAACAGCACCCTGGTACCCCCACCTCCACCAGTGTCATGTAATCGTGGGGTGTTTTGTACTGAGCCCGCCATGGGAGGAGTCCTCCTCTGATGAACATGAAAACCCTGTTGGATTGTGCCTGCGCTCTCTTTGTGGCTGAGGCTGTGCAGTCTTGCTGTGTGTGTTACTGAAGTAAGTTGCGATTCTGGGAACACCCACACCCAGCCCTTCAGGTACGACAATGGAGCAGCCAGATGGTGAGTCAGGACTCCCCCCCTCCCCTCCCCGCCCCGGAGCTGCAGCCAAGGGAGGTTTCTCAGAGCACAGTCTGAGGGGAGACTTGCCCCACCTCACAGCAAACGGCCTTTCCAGCCAAACGGGAAGAGCTAGAAAGTGACATCACGACTGGGAACCCTCCACCCCAGCCCAGCCCCTGGAGACAAGGCCAGAGGAGAGGCCAAGCCTGTTTGCTGAGGATCTGCCCCCTCACCCTCCACTCCACCCCCACTGGTCCAGTCTGTCAGGGGGATGCGGCTCGGTTCAAATCCGGCTTTGTTTGCAGCCCCCAGAATGCGAGTTCCCTTCTGAGTCTCAGGTGCCAGCTGGGACCCGCGCTGGCTGCTCCCCAGTTGGGGTTGCCAGGTGGTTTCAACAATAAAACGGGCCACACTCGACATGACATCACAATCTGCATGACATCTCCTTCCAAAAATACCCGACATTTCGATTGTCTCCATTTGTTTCCCGAACAGAAACCTCCAATACTGGCCTGTCTGGTTCAACCCTGGCAACCCTGTTCCCCATCCCGGCCCTGGCTGAATCTAATCACCCTGTTTCTCGTGTTCCCGCTCCCCACGTGCTCCATTTGCAGGGCTTGGGAGACCCCATCCCGGCTCCCAGAACTCGGTGGGCCACAGGGGGGAACTCAACCTGTTGGGGGAGGGGCGGGCTGGGCACTGAGCTGCCCCTGGCCAGGCTCTGAACAGGGCCTCAGACGGCAGCTCTGGGGGCCATGGCAGGGAGCTGGGGGATGCCAGGAGCCTCCTGTTGTGGTCACTCGCGGGGCCGAAGGGCAGTGGGCCCCACAATACCCCCCACCCAGCTTTACTTTAATGGCCCCAGCTGGCTCTGGCACCTCCCCAGGTGTGAGCGAGCTGGAGTTTTGCAGCAACACGGCCCCGGCTCGGCTCAGCTCAGCTCCTGCTCTGGGGCTGCGGCTGTCCCGGGTGCGTCCACATCACCAGAGGGCCCAGCGCCGGGCCGAGCCGTTTGAGGCCCTTCCTTTAATGTCCCCAGTAGGGTCTGGTGGCTCCCCAGGTGTGAGCGAGCTGGAGTTTTGCAGCAACAGAGCCCCGGCTCGGCTCAGCTCCTGCTCTGGGGCTGCGGCTGCCCCTGCTGCTGCAACATCAGATGGTCTCTCAGACTCTGCATCATGAGAGGGCCCAGTGCTGGGCCGAGCTGTTTGAGGCCTGCATGGAGCTGGCCGCCTCGGGGGCTTTGCAGAATCACCTTCCTGAGCTTCTCCCCCTTGCTCAGTCACCTCCCCCCCGCTCCACCCTGCCTCCGAAAGGGGAGCTCCCGGGAGGGGGGCCACAGGTGGGGTGTGTCACAAGGGGATCAGTTCTGAGATGCCGAGTCTGATTCCTCCAGGACCTAGACTAGCAAGTGAGATTCAACCTTCCAGCTTCCGTTCTGGGGTGAAATCTGTCAGGGTCCCCAAAATCTGCCCCCCCCCCAGCCCTATCAGTGGGCAAAGACCCTGCGGACCAGTGGCTCTCATCTTCAGATTCCTGTTCCCCTCGCAGGATTCTGACTTGTCCCGAGTAGCCCCAAGTTTCTCCGCACTTCAGAGTGACTTCGGTGCCAACTCAGAGCTAGAAATACAAGTGCCCCTGCACACTGGTGCCGACCGATGGTTAGGGTTACTAGGTAGGCTTAGACAAAATACCAGACATACCGGCCGGCCGGGAGGGGAGCGGAGCTGGGCGGGAGGAAGGGGGGGACCAGGAGGAAGGAGGGCAGGAAGTAGAGCTGGTGGGAGTGGGCAGTGGACTGGCCGGAGATTGGGGGGGCGGCCGACAGAAAGCAGAGTTGGTC